CTTTAAAGGTGATAACCAACACCTTGAATTGGACCCAGAAGCAGACTGGTACCCAATGCAGCTTGTGGAGCAACGGTGTTACGTGGGCCCTTCTTGGGGCTCCAAAAGTTGCCCGCACAGTTGCATTCTGGGCCAGCTGTAGTTTCCGGATAGCCCCATGTAGAGTGCACTGCAGTAGTCTATCTGGGAGATAACAAGGGCATGAGTGACTGTTCAAAGGGCATCCTGATCCAGGAAAGGGCATAACTGATGCACAAACCGAAGTTGTGCAAAGGCTCTCCTTGCCATGGCTGCCATCTGCTCTTCAAGCAGGAGCTGTGAGTCTAGGAGGACCTCCAGATTATGCACTGGGTCTGCCTGGGGCAGTGCCACCCCATCCAGCACCAAAGATGACAAAGTCCCAGATACTGAGGAGCCATTAACCCATGGCCACTCTGTCTTACCAGGGTTCAGCTGAAGCCTGGTGTTCCCCATCCAGACCCTTACAGCCTCCAGGCACCGCGAAAGGGCGGTCACTGTATCACTTACCTCACCTGGGATGGAGATGTATAATTACGTATCATCAGCATACTAATGATACCTCATCCCATGATGGTGGATGATCTCACCCAGCGGTTTCATGTAGATGTTGAAAAGGAGTGAAGAGAGAACTGAACCCTGCGGCACCCCACAAAGGAGGGGCCAAGGATGGGACCTCTCGCTCCCTATCACCACCAATTGGGATTGGCCCTGGAGAAAGGAGGTAAACCAGCACAGAACCGTGCCGCCCACCCCCAATTCCCTGAGCCATCCCAACAGGATACCATGGTCGACAGTATCGAAAGCCACTGAGAGAGCAAGGATGGTCGCACTTCCACCATCCCGCTTCTGCCAGAGGTCATCCATAAGTGTGACCAATGCTGTTTCCATTCCATAACCAGGCCTGAAACCTGATTGGAAGGGATCCAGATAATCCATTTCCTCCAGAACCCTTTAGAGCTGTGATGCCACCACTTTCTCAACCACCCTCCCCAAAAAGGAGAGGTGGGAGACTGGATGGAAATTGTCTAGTACAGTAGGACCCAGGGAGGGTTTCTTGAGGAGGGGATGCACCAACGCCTCCTTAAAGGCAGCCGGAAACAGTCCCTCCTGCAAGGATGTATTAACCATCGCCTGGATCCAACCACATGTCACCTCCCGAGCTGCTTTTACCAGCCAGAAGAAGCATGGGTCAAGATGGCAAGTGGTGGCCTTCACAGTCCCCAGGATCCTGTCCACTTCCTCAAGATCAGCAGGATCAAACTGTTCCCAGATAACTGGGTAAGAACAGTCCCCTGGTATCTCCCCAGACCCTGCCCCACGCTTGGAGTCTAACTTGGAACGAATCTTAGCGACTTTGTCCTGCAGATGCTCTGAAAATTCCTCCACATGGCCCTGCAAATG